GGTTTTCATAAACCGTTCCATCCCTAGTGCCTGGATGATCCTCCACTTCCTCTGGTGAGGGGCGCACACGCAGCCCGAGAGCTAAACTCACCAACATCACTGCAGTACAGCGAGGACCTTCCTCTGTCCGACGGGGTGGTGTAACCCACTTGATTGTTCACGATGAGGTGGATGCTGCCACCCACTCGGTAGTGAGGCAGATTTGACAGAGTCAACGTTTCCGGAACGATCCCCTGACCCGTAAAAGAGCCGTCACCGTGGACCTGGAAATAAGAAAATTCAGGAGATAAGATTAGATTACAAAGACGGTGTCCCACAACCTTTGAACGTTTTTCTTTGCTTCAACAAGCCTGAATCAAATTGGTCTGAAGCCCCTGGCTATGTGCTAAGGAAGCACTTTAACCTTTTATTCAGGCGTTTTGGAGCAACAAACAGACTCCCAGATAATTTCTGAGATCCTACAAAGGTCATAAAATAAGCTGATGTTGTGTCTTGCATCATATTCTCATCAAAGACCAAATAATGAACCATTTGTAGTTTACTGAGGAAAGTTATCAGATTTTTATTTATGTCTTAAAACATACAAGTGAAAGATGAGAGATTTTCCATTTACTCGTTCTATATTTGAAAGCAAACCATGTTGCATGGTTTGGTCAAGTTTCAGTTAGTTTAAATTTTGAAAGGTTCTACATTATGCAAAATTAATTTCGTAAACAGTTATGTGTCATTCAACCTGTGCATGGTTCATAGATGAAATAAAGTTCACAACTGAAAAAGAAAACCCTCTCTCTCTGCCTTGTTTTTCCTCTTAGTTAATGTGTGCTTAAAATGCTCCTTTTCAAAAGTATGCCCTTTATGAGATCATTTGGGGAAATGAGCAGTGATTCACAACATGGTAAGGTCACCAGCAGATTTCTTTACACACCTTAAAATGAAGAGGGGAGCCATACAAATTGAAGGTAAGAGTTGAACGTGACTTAACTATGTCTGACTGCTTGGCCTGTAAACATGTTAGCCCTGAAGCTTTTGTGTCCTTGGCTTTCTTGATAAAAAGGTGGTCTTGATACAATGGATAATCTACTCTTTGCTTCAGAGTCTTTTCCTAAAAGGACATCTGCAGTCATTTTTATTGTGTGCTTGTGTTAAATAACTTCTGTTAGTTAATGACAGCAGACGAAAAATAAAAAACCATGATGGAGCATTTCTCTGGAGTTTGACCTTCGTGGTCTGATCCAATCTACAGAGGGCTTGATCAGATTGCAATGTATGAATAAAGAGTTTAACAGATCATACAATCATTAAGAGTTTATTCTCTGATTCAATTTTCTCATGTCTTGGTAGAATAATGAGCTCCTAAATAGAATATTAATTATTACTAGAATGTATCCGCCTCATAACCTGATGGCATCTAAAGGGCTTACTGCAGGATTTTAGTGGCTATGATTTACGGCCATTTATTTGGACTCAGAAATACTTTAGCACCAGGTAACCTGGGAGTAACGTAGCTGGTGCTTAAATATAAGTAAGTCTAGAAGCAGTGAGTACCTGCAGACAGATGACCTGGTCTCCTGGGTAGGCGTTCTCCTCTGGTGAATAGTCTCCCTCTTTCCTCAGCTGCTGCCTTGCTCTGGTTTTACCCTGAGCCACGGGGTTAATGGCCTCCAGGTGTGATGGGTTAGGCAGCATCGTGACGTGAAGAGGGTGCCCTGCTCCTAAATCCAACTCCACCGAGGAGGTGAGATGAGAGAGAACGTCGCCGATAGCGGGGGAGGTGTCAGGGAACTCGCTGAGCCCGCGCATCTTACGGAACATAAGCTGCAGTGGACCGATAAACCAGAACCAACTGTTTAAATGTCGCGTCAGCCTCCAGTTTAGAGGAGGATTTAGAACTGGAAATATCTCTGACCTCTGGTGGAAACTTCAGCAGGCCGGTGAGCAGGTTCAGTCGGCCTCTGTGAGGCATCCCGATGACGATGTCAGTAACTCCTTTGTGGGCTGACTGGTGGAAGAGCTCATAGAAAAATCCCATCATGCTCTCTGCTCCTTCTCCTCCGTAACGCTTCACGGTAGCAAACTTAGTAGCCAGGAAGTGGTCAAACTCCTACACACAGAACGAACAGACATGTTCCATTGACCACCAGCACTCTGGATCATGTTACCTTCACTCTGACCCACCTGAGACTCCAGCATGAGCTTAGCCAGAAGCTTCTTCTCCTCAGGAGAGAAGCTTTCCCTCTTGAGCTCCTCGAAGCGGTCAGCAAACCATTCCCTCTCCTCCAGACTGCTCAGCTGGCTGGTCTCCACAGACAGGTGACCACAGTAGACCTGTTCCAGGTAGGTCTGCACCTCTTCCACCGAGGCTTGAGCCTTCCCAAAGTGACGCAGGCCTTGGGAAGGAATAACACACCCAAAGGTTAAGACTGTACATCAAAAAATAAGTACCGGTAAACAAAAACTAAAGGAGCTGGTTTAAACTCAACAGTGGAATCCAATGAGTTAAATCTTTTTAGAAACATTTTATGACCTTAAATTCTTAAAATCTGAAAAATAACTAAATATTTTTTAAAAATGAAAAGAAAAACGTTGAGAAATTGAAATTCTTTAACTCCAGGATTTGCATTAAGGGGACTCAAGTTACCAAACTTCACTACAGAACAGATAAGCTTCAGAAAAGTCAGCAGATCAACTGTTTTTTAAGTTGATGATTAAACTTCCCATTTTTCAATTATGTGCTTAATAATATCACTAATGAGTTTTAGTACAGTGAATTACAGAACCAATATTCATACCCTGGACAAAATTCTATAAAGATATTTTCATTTAACCAAGATTTTTATATCCAATACAAAAAAAAAGCTATCGCTGATCAAAACTTCTAATATTATGCTGCCAAAAATTAAAAGAGGAACAAGAGATGTGAGTCTGTTGTACGAAATAAGCTATGTAATAAGGCAGAACAAGATATAAAAAAATTAATTCTACCAATATTTTAAGGCTAAACTTCATCACAATATATTTGAGAGTTGAAAAAATTGTATACAATAAATGGTTATAGTTTTATTGGTTAATTAAGGTAAAGCTTTCCAGTTGATATGTGTTTGAATTGAGTACGGTATTTTTGCTTTTTTTTTTTTACATTTTTCAAATGTCCGTGTTTTGAAAAAAAACTTTTTTTTGGCACATAAGCTTAGCTTCTGCTAATTTAGTGAGGTTATAGCAACACTGTGATAGACTGGATGACTATAAAAAAGGAAAAAAGTCTATCTGCATTGATTTGTTTTTCATTAAGAAAAGCAAAGCAAATATTTTTTCATATCCTTTCAATGATGCATGGAAAAATCTTTTTGGCTTTAAAGTCTGATTTCAACTGCTGAGCTTCTTTTTGCAGTTTGGTCGGCCTCCATCTTAAGCTTCCTGCATGGGTTCTCAGTCAGATTCTAGTCAGGTCATGCCTGACTAGTTGGGCCACTTCCAAATATTATCACTTCCACTTCCCCTCCAGGCAGGTAGATATAAAGAATCCAATAAACGTAAACCTGTGAGAGGGGGATGGTTAATCCTGTAGCTAAAAATGCATCAAATTCCAGGTCAGGAAATAACTGACTAGATTTTTATGGAGCAAAAAAACTAGGAATGGAAGAAAAAAAATGACTAAATCAAATATTTCTTTCTTTTTAAGGCTCAAAATGTTATTAAATTCAGGGGTTCTTCAGTTCTTCAATGAAACCTGCAAAATAAATACAATTTGTATAAAAAGTAATTTCACCTATTTGGACATGTAATTTGGCTTTCTAAAAACAATAAAAATATATATATATATATATTATATATCAACATCTCGACATGGATAGATATAGGTGTGTGTGGGGTTGCTCTTGTTTTTAACACATTGCGGGGACCATTTTGATGGAAAATGGCACGTTGCAGGGGCTCCTGGTGGGGCCCGAGGCCTGGACCCATGTGGTTAATTGTTGTTTTTGGGGATAGGGGTCACGTTTAGGACTAAGGTATGAATTGAGTTTAGGTTGAGGTTAGGGTTAGTTGTGAACCTGTATGGTAAGAATTAGGGTAAGGGTCGCAGTAGAAATGAATAGAAGTCAATGGAATGACTGCCTAAAGATACTGAGACAAGTTGGTGTGTGTGATTGTGTGTGTGATAAGGAAATAAAGAAAAAAACAAACAACTGAGCTACCTCACTACACAAGTATTGAAAAAAGATCTCTCCAAAACTATGGCATTTATGTTAATTAGGACCAGTTTGTTCTGCAACAAGCTCACACAAGTTATTACATCACACCTTCCTAAGTCCCTCTGACAGGTCCCGCCATTACCTGGAATTACAGAACCAATATTCATATCCTGGGCAGAATTCTATAGAGATATTTTCATTTAACCAAGATGTTTATATCCAATACAAAATTAAAAAGCTATCTCTGCAAAGTTAATCAAAACTGTGCTTCTATTGTACGAAATAAGCTATGTAATAAGGCAGAACAAGATATAAAAAATAAATTCTACCTATATTTTAAGGCTAAACTTCATAACAATATATTTGAGAGTTGCAAAAATTGTACACAATAAATCTTTATAGTTTTATTGGTTAATTAAGGTAAAGCTTTCCGGTTGATATGTGTTTAAATTGAGTACGGTATTTTATTTTATTTTTTCAACATTTTTCAAATGTCCCTGTTTTGAAAAAAAATTTAAAAAGGCTCAAAATGTTATTAAATTCAGGGGTGCTTCAGTTCTTCAACGAAACCTGCAAAATAAATACAATTTGAATAAATAGTCATTTCACTTAATTGGACTTTTAATTTGGCTTTCTAAAAACGATTAAAAAAAAATTATATATCTAAACCTCGACATGGATAGATATAGGTGTGTGGGGTTTCTCTTGTTTTGTGTGTGTGGTTGTGATAAGGAAATAAAGAAGAAAAAAAACAACTGAGCTACCTCACTACACAAGTATTAAAAAAGATTTCTCTAAAACCATGGCATGTATTAGGACCAGTTCATTCTGCAACAAGCTCACACAAGTTATTACATTACACCTTCTTAAGTCAAACTGACAGGTCCCGCCATTAAAACAATCACACCCCGAAACAGAAAAACCTGAGCCTAGATGAACTGCTAACCATTTTAAAAATCAAGCAAATGCTAAAACAAACCTGTTTCCCTTTCAATAAATACATTACATAAAAGTATTATTATTAAAAACTGGGTCTGTGTATTAAAAATGCTAATAATTTAGTTATATTGTCATGTTTATTATATTATTTTTACATTTCCTGTGCTGTGATCCATAGTGAAATAATCAAAACAATCACTATTGATTCCTGACATCCGACAGGTTAACCTGCCTAGCAGCAGGCCAGTCGCCTTGGTTACTGTAATGTTAGCAGTAGGTGATGCTTGAATTTAAAGGATAGCTATGATCTTATCTGGAAAGAAGTCAGACCAGGAAAATGTCTGTTGATATTCTCAGTTTTTATGCAGAAACAAAATACAGGCAGACCCAACCAAGACATATACATCATGAAAAAAACTCTGCTGGAAATGTTCTCACATGGATGCATTGAATAACAGATAAAATTACAGTGTGAGGGTCTCTCTATGAAGGTAGATTTGTTTCTTTATTCTTCAATCAAAAAAAAGGTTGCTTCAATCAAAAAAATATATTTTCAATTAACTTCAATGAAAAAAGAACTTTTCAATCAAAGAAAAAAAATATTTGAATGCAAAAATACATTTGAACACTGCTTTTCTTTGATTGAAAATGTTTTATTTGATAGAAGTGCAGTCTTTTTAGTTTAAGAGCAACTTTTTTAATTGAAGTAACATTGTTTTTTTGATTGGACCATACAATGGGTGTGTCTTTATTATTCAAACAAAAAATAAATTGCTTCAAACAAACAAACAACAGAATCAATAAAAAAAGTAGCTTCAATGAAAAGATAAACGTTTTCAATAATAGAAAATAGTTTTTGAATTGAAACAAAATATTTGAGACTCAAAATTGCATTTGAACACTTTTTTTTTATTGTTGAAAATGTTCTTTGGTTGAAGGGATCTATTTAGTGTTTGGGCCATACATGGGTAAGACATTTGTGTCTTAATCATTCAATTCCCAAAAAGTTGTTTCAATAAAAAAAAAAATAAAAAAAAAATCAATCAAAGAAAAAAACTGTGCAAATTATTAACCAATAAAACTATAATGATTTATTGTTTGCAATTTTTGTAACTCTCAAACATATTGTAATGAAGTTTAGCCTTAAAATATAGGTAGAATTTTTTTCTTTGATTGAAAATTCTTTTTTTTATTGAAGTGAAGATTTTTTTAATTGAAGAAAACTTTTTTTTGATTGAATAATAAAGAAACAAATCTACCTTCATATCTCTCTATATATACACTCAAAATCTTGTCAAACATGTCAGCTTCCAAATAGAAAAATTGGGCAGTGTTTAAAAGTTTCTCTGCCCTGATAAATAAGATGTGTGTATTTTTTTTTCTTAACTAGAACACAAGTTAAGCAAGTCCTGTCTGGTAGTTCCCTGAGGAGGTTTCATTGAGTTAATCCTTTAATAGGGCGAATGCATTCAATCTTTGCTGTTTGGTAGCCCGTTCATTTCAGTTTAGAGCTCCAAGATTACAGTGAAACTGGAGCACTCCTTTAGAGACCGACTTAATCCCCCTTTATTTCACAATTTTTTTTAAAATAGCCTGTTTTTTTATATATACAGTAGGGGTGTAAATAATAATCGTT